TTAAAACTCAGAGAAGCATCAAACTTAGAATTACAAAGAAAAATTTATTGTGAGTACATCATTTGGAATGAGATAATGCAATGAGATGATACAATGAAATTCGAGGCCTTTACACTTTTCAGTGACCTATGACTAAGCGCTATAGTCTAAGTTCAGTCAAATGTTTTGTCGGGGGCTGACTAGATTCAGGTAAACCTAGAGATATTGCGGACCGGCAATTTGTACTCCGGGGACCGGCTTTGAGAAACACTGCTATAGCGAAAACACCAAACGATGTTAAATTCCAGAAGCACTGTGAATCGGAGAATTAAAACCTTATATGAATAAAACATCAAGAGCACCATGATATTCGTATAAAGTTAATTACTCCTAAGACCAGAGAGAGCCAGTATCATAAATAAAGTTATTTGATTGGATGTATTTGCAATTTGAATATACTTGTATCATAAACGTTTTGGGTGAATATTGTGTTTCACAATTAGCACATGATAAAAAGTTATACATAAATATATCAATAAATTTTCCCACATAAACAGCTCTTTCAAAACTACATAGCTAGAACTGATAAGGATAGAATTTGGATGATTGTCTTTGGTACGTAATATGCATGTGTATTACTGCCAAGGGGATGCAAAATAATTGGATGGTATTGGTAGCACAGTGGGAAAACTAAACGTAATTGTATTACTATTATTATTAGTTTATATTGGGAAAAAATATATAGTTCATATGAAATATTTAAACATATTAACAGAGAATGAGTTAGTCTATTATGAATTACGAAATAAAAACAGAAGTAGTATCGGGATAGGATCACTCATTCACTGTCCATTAGTGGGCATCTGAGATTTAGAAGTTACATTACCACTGTTAATATTATGACATCAATCTTTGGTGAAAATTAAATATGACAGACTATTAGCTGAAGTTGTAAGGTAGCTTTTTCTGTGTAAAGAAGGATATGTTGATAAACTTTAAGAATAGAGTTTCGGTTCCATATCTTGTCAAAACTAACAAAAGTTATATTCATAGTATCATATCATTATTACTGTCACTGTAGTATTAACATTTAAACTATACTGAATATTTTGTTGATATTGGTTGCTGTGTAGTGTTAACTGTAAAATGTAACTTGTAAGAACAACAAGGGAAGTTTGATGCCCAATATTATAGTGTAAGAACATTTACTACCAGTAATACTTAGGGTTAACACAAAACTTATTTCAACAAGTATTTGTACTATAAATTACAGGCTGCAAAGAGTTTGAAAATCATGTAATAATACTTATATTCCAATAGGAAATACTAAAGTAATGTACATGAAATTCTCAGAATACTTATAATTTAAACTAACCAAATAATCAATATTTTAACTTTGTAGAAGACTTTTCATCAAAAAAATTGTCATATTGATATATTAATGTTCATTCATTCATTCCAAGAAATATAAAACCATTACTTTTAAACATAAAATTTGGGTAAAGTTTAAAACTTGTGTGCTGTGATACATGTACATTGTAACTAGTATGAAACAATATACAACTGTGTTATGACCTGTGAATAGGATACACTAGGAATAGAAATTTGCTCATTAAAATTGTTGAACAGACATGGAACATAGTCTTTGTTTATATGGGCAAATTTTTAAACAGTTTATTATTTCAGATAGAACTAGTAAACTTTTTCCTTTTCACTATTTCAATTTGTAAAACGATGTAAATATATCTCAATTATTCACCCCAATTTGGAATGTTGGCACACGTAATGTTCTATATTTCATCTGATAATAAAGCTTCTTTTGTTTCCTCTCAAGATTTTTGAGCAGGGTGAGGTATGAGTGTGCTCTCACTTTGTACCCTTGTATTTATACTAAAGAATTAGAAACATTTTCTCTTTAAATAATGTTAATTACAACAATATTATTCTTGTAACAGGCTTATTAAATGTTATTTATAGTGGTAATAATGAACTTATCTGGTCAGCAAAAATTACCATCTTTGTGATCAATATGTTTTACGCAATTGATAAACTGCTTTATGATATTTATTTCTTTTTATTGGATTATACTATATGTAGTTTTAAATCTTGTTTTTTACAGTATTTTATGTATTATTTTTAAAACTACTGAAATTTAGACAAATTAGTGAATTATTGTTTGAACAAGCACAGTCTTCTAAAGAATTGCATTTATAAGTTACTAATCATTAATGTTTTTTCTTTTTCTTGAAGTAAAGAAATCTCATTCATTTGAAACATCTACATATTAAATGTAAAACAGTTGTGATGCATGTAATGTTTATATTCATCACTAAAACATTTAACAACATTCCTATTACTGTTTACTTACCTTGTCTTCCTGTTGAAGGTTGTTGTCATAGACAAAGTGAGTGGGTTTTTTTGTTATAATGGTTTTTTGTTAAGATATATCAATCTTTCTTTATATACTATCAACAATCAAGTTTACAAAAAATGTTTAGATTTTCTTTCTAACATATTTTAAATTACTTTTTTATGAAGCTTGTAATGTTCTGATTGTACTTGGATAAAACTAGTCTTTACAAAGTGACCTATGTGAGATTTGTTTCAGAAAACTAGTATTTTGTAAAATAGTCATATTTCAGTTATAATATATTATATATGTATATATATGTTATTATTAATTACAGATAAGTTCTTAAACTTATTTTTATTACATAGAACAGTAAATAAAGAAGTAGAGCATGCCACAAGCCTTCTGCTTCCCCCCTATTGGAATCAAATGATTCCAGTGTGTGTGTGTCTCATGCAAATCATCATGTATCACATCTCCACCAGTAGGAGCATAGTACACTCATGTGATGCATGTGACTCTCTCTATACACCTCTACCAAACCATCACTTCTCCTTTGGCAGTGCTTGTACACGGAAGTCTTTCTATTTGTCTTGCTTTCTGTTTGTGATATAGTTATTTCTCCTTATACAGCCCTTCCATGGAGCGGTGCCTGACCAGGTATTCTTTAACTCTAAATATGCATTGTACAGTCAAGTTGAATCACGCTTGCTCTTCCATGGTTTGCAATGATCATCGTTGAGATGAGGTGTTTCACAAGATTGCTTGTAGGTGAATAACCTCATGATTTTTGCTTCATAAGTTTGCCCATTCCGAACTGTACAACCCATGGACTTCATGGGTAAAGCAGAATGGGATAGCTGCCCACTCCTGCCATACCTCGATTGAATAAATAAATAAATTGAATAAATGGTCTGCTTTTCAAAATAGGGTTTCATGATCAGCCATTGCACTGTCTCAGGTGATGACGTTCCTCCTGACTCTCCAACACAAGTGATAGTACGGTAAAGGCACATAGAGGGAGTCACACGAGTGTACTATGCTCCTATTGGTGGAGAGGTAATGCATGATGATTTGCATGAGAGACACATTGGAATCACTTGATTCCAATAGGGAGGAGCAGAAGGGTTGTGGCATGCAAATAAAAAAAGGTAGCATATAGGAGGCAGCAATGAACGAGAATAGCTAATCTTGTGAGAGGAGGGAAGTACCTATCAGAAATACATTTTTAGTATAGGAAAATTATAACATTCAATAAAATTGTGGATGTGAGTCTACAAACATGACAACATGGCCTTTGACCTGCGACCATAGGAAAAACCTGTAGAGATGGGGTTAATAATTCTGTAATAGAAAATCTATCGGGAACTATGGAATGACTGAAATGATGAACAATTCAAGTACTAAATGGTTTAAAGGTGTTTCATTAGTTCTAGTGTTGTCATGTTGTAGTATAGTTTTACATATATATACGAGGTATATCTCCTCAATAGAGTAAAAATCTGAATTAAATATTAGAAAGAATTATGTTTTAAAAACACACACAATTTTTATTGGTTGTACGAAGTAAAACTTTTGTTTTATTCTATTCACAATGTTTCATCAGGTTTACCTGGTTCTTGTTTGTCACCTAATGATGCCAGGTAAACCTGGTGAAATGTTGGGAATAAAAAACGTTTTTATGATGTGCAGCTGATAAAAATTTGTATGAAGAGTAAAATCCTACCCTCCAGTCATTATATACAGGTTTGAAGTATGTGAAACTGTTGTAAAAGTTGTCGTGGTATCTTACTACACATATAGTTTCAAAATGATGTTATGTCAGATTATGTCACCACTTTGGTATAAAGATGTAAAACCAGTGAAGCTTTTAGTTTGATATGAAAGTTAACAAGATAATGTGAATTTTGGGATTTGTAATTACTGAAAACTTTGTAACCTTTTTGAAGGATGCAACATCTAATTCTTAATTTGTTTCTCTGTAGTCTAGCTACAAGTTTTGATAAGAATATAAAAGTGAAGGTTCTGTGTAATTATGGAAGTATTAAAGATGAAGGTTGAACCATTTTCTGATGAGAAACAGGAAGCTTTGTTGGATATCAAATTGGAGAAAAATGAACGTGAAACTTTCACAACAATTAGTAGTAAGTAAATTCATATAAAATTTAAATGTATTGTATTATTCCCAACATAAATAGTGTTAAATTTACTAGTTTTAATTTAGCAGTGTTCCTAAATGTTTCATTATTATTTGATAATTTTTTGTGTGTGATGTATATCAATAAGACTATGTTTCATTTATTTGGTTATCTTAGCCTTTGATTGCATGAATCTTAACCTAGTTACACTTTCCTAATCTTATTCTTTACCATCACCTGTGAGTGGGGTTAAACCTGAGAACTTTCAAGTGTGAAGTAACTGTTCTACTAACCGAGATGAAGGATTAACCCACTATATAATGTTTGTAAAGAGCTTATATATGTGATTTTATCAGTGTTAGAAGGTTTTGTATCTATCATTTTTAAATTCTTTTTATTTGCTGGTAATTTGAAGACAGTCAGAATTACCCCTAAATGACTATTTGCCTTTTGTTGCTCTTTCACTATCACATGACTTTAAGTTCTGAATGCCCTTGATGTAGTGCAGTACTTGCATCATACTTATTCACAGTTCTACATTTATCCACTTTACACAGGAGTTATTAGCTATTTTGGACGCTTCTCTTTTAATGGAGACCATATTCCTTATCTGACTAAGGAAATTCATAGATGCTTTGTAGGTGCTAGTCGATCCACACATTTCTATCAGACAATGGATTAAGAAGAGATCTGTTACATACTTCACTGTTGTGTGAAGTAATAATCAGCAACAAATATGAAACACTTCATTGTTGTTTGAAGTAATAATCAGCAACAAATAAGAAACACTTCATTGTTGTTTGAAGTAGGAATCAGCAACAAATATGAAACATTTCACTGTTGTTTGAAGTAGGAATCAGCAACAATATGAAACACTTCACTGTTGTGTGAAGTAACAATCAGCAACAAAGAAGAAACACTGGAATTAGATTTAAACACAAAGTAGCTTAGGTAATGCATATGAATTCATAAATAATTATCTGGCTTGTTGTGATAGTCCTTTAACCCTTTCGAGATGGGTCACAGGTGAAAGGCCATGTCATCTCATTTGTTGACTCGCATTCAAAAGTTTATTGAACTACTATTTTATTAATTTATGTCAATAAATTTGGTATCAAACTAAAGATTATAACTCAAATTTTATAAATATACATTACTCAATCTGTTACTTTAAAAGAAAATATTAAAAACAGATAAACATCGATTTTTGTGTCTTACATGGTATGTTGAATGCAGCACTAGTTCAAATTAGATGATTGTGAAATCAAAATACAAAGTCTATAACTTCATACGAATTAGAAACTCAAATTAAAGATATTGACAAGTTTGAATATAAAATAAGAAGGTCTTTATATTTTCTATTTGCTAAGATATTGCTCACGTAATAAATCACGGTGGCACCCCACCCACCTCCTTCCATTTTTGAAAATGCTCCCTTATATACACTTACTTTTATATATGACATGAATAACCAATCGGAAGGTTACAATGTCCCCCTAGTAGTTTTCTCAGCCTTTCTAACATTTCTTCCACCATTTCTTTCTTTTGAATCAAGATTTCAAAGAGGTAGGTTGTGTCTTTAGTCTGCTTGAAATTTTATATTTTTTTTTTTAGACCCAGATGAAGCTTAGTTACTAAGCTTGATAAATTATATTAAAATTCTGTGGTATTGATGTAGTAATTTATGATTTTTTAGTTATTCAAATATATATATATATATATATATATAAACCTAAAAAATATTTTGTTTTATATCTTCCATATGCAAAATTTTTATAGGCTTAGCAATCTATATCAAGCAGCAACTAAGTACAAAGATCTTAACTAGTAGAGATAATTGTTTGCTTTACTTCTTTGTTTACTGTTCTATGTTTTAGGAAAAATAACTTTAAGAACTTATTTCAAAATAGCAATAGTCTATATACATATATAATGTACAATAATTGAAATGTGACTATTTTACAAAATACTAGTCGACTAAAACACAGCCAAGACAAGTTACTTTGTACAGACCAAAGGTCACTTTATGTTATTTGATAGGGTAACATGAGTGCACATGAGCAGCAATGTTGTAACTTCTGTATTGTTAGTTAGGCAAGGGTGAAAGGTCAATATAACAAATATATATAAAAGTATAATGTTATGAGATTTAAGCTATTTCATCTAATAAACATGTATGTTTTTGTTTTGTAATTTGTGCTTCAACTAAATTCCTAACAACATGACCTAGCTAAAGTCCACTGTGGTGATATTGAAACCAGGAACATCAGTTTAGTTCAACATAAGAAAAAACATGTGTAACCTTTAAAATATTAAGTTGATGGTTGTTTGATAAAAATTCTAGTACACAGGACTATAAGGAAGCAAAAGATTTATATTAATTCAGTTAATAAATAAAGCAAAGAAAATTTTTGAAAGTTGTATCTTAAAAGTTATAAAAAAAAGAAGTGGTTACATGAATTGTCAGTATATAAGAATTGAGGAGTTACAACTATAGTATTAAGGACTTCCCACTTGATATCTCACTAACTCTAAATCACTTGCATTACAGCAAAGACTGCTTCTTACAAAAAGTTTGGAATGTTTTGGGCCATGTCAAATACATTCATAACAGATTCACTTATGTTTGTGATTTGTCATAGTTTTGTAAAAACTGACAAATCTCTTCAAAGTGTACTTTGCTAGTTATGAATATTTGGGTGGTTTACTATGTTATGGTATTATGTAAAGAAAATTTTAACATTAACCAAACAATTGCCAAATCCCAGTTTTTAGTATTATTTCTTCAAGACGGGTCTATTCCCTAACCTTTAAGGTCACTTACCATATTTTTCGGAATATAAGACGCACCCTTATTTTGAAGACAAAGTTTTGGGGAGAAAAAAAGCTACAGTCGCATTTGAAAGGTTTTTATTGAACAAAAATTCAATTTGATACTTTAAAAATTAGTATATATTGTGCTAAACACAAAAGAGCTCAAAACATCAAAATAAGAAAATACCGTAAATCAAAAAAAGATTTACTGTTATTTAGTTCGGTTCAAAATCTACAAAATCTTCATTGCTTTCACTGTAATTTATTTTTTATTATTTAGGGAGCATTATAAATAGTTATGTTTTAAAAG